AACATTCCTGCAAGTAGCACTGTTTTAAACATGAACTTTAAGCTAAACTTAACTTTAAACTTCACTGAAAATGTTAAACAGAGGCTAGTTAATAGTGTGGAAATTATTCGTAGAGTGAGTAATGAATGGGGTGAGATACTAGTCATTTTTGGGTAACTGTAAACTCTGGTATGTGTATTTGAATAATGAAAATGATGAATTATGTATACTTATCTTTCATAGATTCAAATTCATGAAATAAAAACTTAGAAAAGAGAAAATGGAGAGAACCATTATTTTATTAGATTGAGAATAGCATTAATTTTGTTATGGAGAATGTCATATGCAATGAACTCCATGTACCCCGTCACTCAGCTACAATAATTAACAGCTCAGGCAGTTTTGCTTCATCTGTCCCCTCATCCACTTTCCTCCACCCCATCCTCATTTTGAAACAGATCCCAGGAATTCATGCATAAACATTTCAGAATGTACAAGTGAAAGATCAAGAATCTTCAGAAGGTGTTTTCATGGCAATGACTTTCTAGATTCTTCTATAAAACATGACTTGTAATGTATAATAAATGTTGAATTAACTAGTGATATTTTCACTTTCACTGTAGAACCCAAACAATTTGATCCAATATAAGATTTAGTTATAACACATGAGGATAGCTTTGACATTTTGGATTCCAAGTAAATATATAAAAAAGTAACTTTTCAATCTACCTTTGTATTCTTACCACAACCATACTACCCAAAATCCTGCACATCTTTCCTCTCACTAGACTTGCCCAGTGACCTTCACACCTTTCTTCAACATCTTCCTCATTTCTTCCTGGTTTTGTTTCCTACCAGCTCAACAGTGTGAATGAAGTTCTATCCTCAGGAGAACCCAAATCATATACATGATCTTTTTTTTTTTTAAGTTTTGTTTTATTTATTTGAAAGAGTTACAGAGAGAGAGAGAGAGAGAGAGAGGTCTTCCATCTGCTTGTTCACTCCCCAAATGGCCGCAATGGCTGAAGCTGAGCCAATCTGAAGCCAGGATCCAGGAGCTTCTTCCCAGTCTCCCATGTGGGTGCAGGGGCCCAAGCGCTTGGGCCATCCTCTGCTGCTTTCCCAGACACATCAGCAGAGCTGGCTTGGAAGTGGAACATCCGGGACTCGAACCAGTGCCCACATGGAATGCCAGCACTGCATGCCGGGGCTTTAACCCCTGCACCATAGCACTGGCCCTGACACATGATCTTTTCTTTTCTTTTCTTTTCTTTTCTTTTCTTTTCTTTTCTTTTCTTTTCTTTTCTTTTCTTTTCTTTTCTTTTCTTTTCTTTTCTTTTCTTTTCTTTTCTTTTCTTTTCTTTTCTTTTCTTTTCTTTTCTTTTCTTTTCTTTCTTTTCGAAAAATTCCATAACCTAGCTGCTCCTCACAGAACAGATACGATCGGTACCGCACTGAGCCGAAGCTACAC